GATCAACCCTTGTTCTTTTTAGTAATTCATGCAGCTCCCTGACTTTTCACAACAGTTAATGAAGGGACACAAGGCTCACTGAGGCATGTAGAAAGCAATGGCTATAAGATCTGATTTGATCACATAGAAGAGCTATTGTATCTCAAATTGTTGAAAAACCTAATGCTGACAATGATAAGAAAGGTGTCAGAGCACACAGTCCATCACAGTTTGCTATGTATGGGGCTGCGTAGCCGCAGACCAGTCAGAGTGCCCTGTCCACCGCCAAAAGCTCCTTTAATGAATGTCCGTCATTAACCTGGGGAAGAGATGGCAGCAGGATGCACTATGGACAGCAGGCAGGCCGGCAGAGGCAGTGTCATGCTCTGGGCATGTTCTGCTGGGAAACCTTGGGTCCTGGAATTCATGTGGATGTTACTTTGACACGAACAACCTACCTAGAGTATGTTACAGACCACGTACACCCCTTCATGACAGTGGTGTACCCTGATGGCAGTGGCCTCTTTTAGCAGAATAATGCCCCCTGCCACACTGCAAAATTGTTCAGGAATGGTTTGAGGAATATGCCAAAGAGTTTAAGATGCTGACTTGGCCTCCAAATACCCCATATGTTAATCTGATTGAACATTTGTGGGATGTGCTGAAATGACAAATCCGATCTATGGAGATCCCTACATCTCAACTTGCAGGACTTAAAGTATCTACTGCTAATGCACCAGCCATTTACCACGACACGTTTAGAGGTCTTGTGGATTCCATGTTTTGGACGGATCAGATCTGTAGCACAAGGGGGACCTACACGTTCTTAGGAAGGTAGTTTTAATGTTGTAAATGATCAGTATATATATATATATGTAACGGAACCGCTGGCACCCCGACCGGGTACCTTCCGCCGACGGATGCTCCTAGTGCTTTCCGAGGACTCCAAGCACCCTGCCTGACACCATAACCACTGGAGACCCCACGAACCGCCGCAGCTTGGTTGGGATCTCGCCGTCTCCACCCACTCTGGACCCAGGACCAGGGTCCAGCTTCCAGCAGGTCGACCTCTCTCCGAATTCCAGAGAGCAGGAACAGGAACAAGCTCTTAGCAGAGCTTAGTGATTATACCCTGGGGAGTATAGTGATTATAGCAATCCCCAGAGTGTAGTTTCTCCAATCCCCCAAACATGAGCCGAAACTTCATGAAGGTACAAGATGATCTGTTTATTGGCACACAAAGAACCTTCTTTTATGCAGGTCCCCATGCAAGGGGACATCCCACTGGGTGGGACACAGTACAACCAATCACACAATGGTTACATCGCACACATCTCCTCCCCTTAGCCTGAGAGGTAACCCAATTATCCATATATTTTAAAACATACTTTTTACCCAACTTTCATAACTCTAAAACTATACATCACATTCACACAAAATTACATATTCACAATCAATCCATTCAGGGGAACAACATATTAAAAAATGGCATGAATCCAACCAGGGGTTCAAAAGTTAGTAAAAGTATCTTTTGGGCCCTGGCTGGCACATGGATATCTGTCCCAAACTGGTTTCAGAGTCTTCTATTCTGGAGATAATTGAGAAGTAATGCAATTATCTCCAAGGACAGAGGCAAAACTCCATTAGCCACATGGCAGACAAAGGACAACAAAAGACATAAAAATACATACTGTTACATTTATCACATAGAACCTACACATTTCCAATTTACCGAACACATAATAGCATATATAATATTGCAGACCGCATGAATGCAATCTGCTACACAGTCTTAAAGGGACATTGTTCCTAAAAGTCATAATATGTCCAGGGACAGATTTTAAAGGGCCAGCAGCAGCACCATACAAATCCAATATGCCCAAATATTGTACTTGAAGGGCCAAATAACCCAGGGCCATAGTCATGAGGCAAGAGGCTGGCAATCAGGCTCCTCCAACAGCCAGGGGAAAATCCGGTGACAAAAGGCGTTTCGTCACAATATATATATATATATATATATATATATAATTATTATTTTATTATTTATATAGTGCCATCTGTTTCTGTACCGCTGTACAATGGGTGGACTAACAGACATGTAATTGTAACCAGACAACTGGACGTACAGGAACAGAGGGGGTGGAGAGCCCTGCTCAATGAGATTATATTCTAGAGGGATATCATTTATATACTTTAGTTAATTTTCACCTTGGTGGGTCTTTTATTTACAGACCTACCCGTATGTTGGTTCCGGCAAACTCCAGTATATACATACAGCTATTATGATTCTGACAACAAATATTTATTTGTGCTTGGAATTTCTAATACGTAATGGAATGTAGAAGGAGTAGCAGAGGCGTGCGCAGCCTATTGCATTAGGGTGTGCACCCTAAAGCACAAGCACGCGCCGCGTGTATATGTATGTATGTATATATATATATATACCGTATCTTCAGATACCGTATCTTCAGAAGGATATTGATACCTTAGAGAGGGTTCAGAGAAGGGCTACTAAACTGGTTCATGGATTGCGGGATAAAACTTACCAGGAAAGGTTAAAGGATCTTAACATGTATAGCTTGGAGGAAAGATGAGACAGGGGATATGATAGAAACATTTAAATACATAAAGGGAATCAACACAGTAAAGGAGGAGACTATATTTAAAAGAAGAAAAACTACCACAACAAGAGGACATAGTCTTAAATTAGAGGGACAAAGGTTAAAAAATAATATCAGGAAGTATTACTTTACTGAGAGGGTAGTGGATGCATGGAATAGCCTTCCAGCTGAACTGGTAGAGGTTAACACAGTAAAGGAGTTTAAGCATGCATGGGATAGGCATAAGGCTATCCTAACTATAAGATAAGGCTAGGGACTAATGAAAGTTTTTAGAAAATTGGGCAGACTAGATGGGCCGAATGGTTCTTATCTGCCGTCACATTCTATGTTTCTATATATATATACACACACACACATATACATACACTGCTGTGTGTGCTGTGTGAGGGTGGTGTGAGGGTGCTGGTAGTGTGATTTGTGTGTGAGGGTGCTGGTAGTGTGCTATGTGGGTGAGGGTGCTTGTGTGTGTGTGTGTTTGTGAGGGTGCTGTTTGTGTGTGAGGGTGCTGGTAGTGTGCTGTGTGTGTGTTTGTTAGGGTCCTGTTAGTGTGCTGTGTGTGGGTGTCATGTGCTGTGTGAGGGTGTTGTGTGTTTGTGAGGGTACTGTTAGTGTGCTGTGTGTGGGTGTTGTGTGTTTGTGAGGGTACTGTTAGTGTGCTGTGTGTGAGGGTGCTGTTTGTGTGTGAGTGTGCTGTTTGTGTGCTGTGTGTGTGAGGGTGCTGTTAATGTACTGTGTGTGTGTGTTTGGGTGCTGTGTGTGTGTGTGGGTGCCTGGTGGTCCAGTTTTGAGTGAACTCTAGCCTGCGGGGCTAGAGTTCACTCTCGTGAGATCTGAGTGTTGCCGCTATAACGCTTCAGATCGCGCGAGAGGAACCCGGCGGAGCTGCTGGCAAGAGCTCCCCGGGTCCTCTCCTGCCTCCCTCCCTGCCGGCGGATAGCGCCGGCTCTGCATGGACAGACAGGGGAGATCCTGAGATCTCTCCTGCCGGTCTCACTCCATAGTCATGTCGCGGGGATTAGGGTGTGCCCAGGCACACCCGGCACACCCCGTGCACACGTCTATGAAAGCTTGAATGGAGCTTTCTCTCTGGTTGAGTTATATACGAAACTGAATTAAGGATTACCTGTGACCCCGTCATTTAACGATGTGGACTGGGGTGTAAAAGCTTGAAGCTGCTGATGTAGCGCCTACATGAAAAAGAGTGACCCGAGAAGGAAGCCATATTGTAGCTCAACCGTAATGGTAGGGTTTGTTGTGAAATAATGAATTTATCGGATAGGGAGTGGGTGCCCTTGGAGATGTAATAGTGAAGTGTCAGGGTAGGAGGTTTAAGAAAGGTGTGTGATTAAGGCAGGTTGTGAGTACCTGGTAAAGTACTCTGATAAAGGTAGAGATTCTGGAATAGTGAAACTTTAAGGTGTAGGTTAGAGGAAGAGGCAAAAATCACCATAGTTTTACAGTAAAGTCTTGTTTCAAGTAAAACTCTGCTTGTGAAATTGTTACAATATACAATGTCCTGGCGTGAGTGATAGAGTAGTTGGGTGAAACTGCGTGGAGCGTGAGTACCTTTGCGTGGTGTAATTGTGTGCTTAGTCCAGGATTAGCTCATGGAATGGTGCTATCCTGGATGGTACGTGGTGGGCCGTAGGGACTGCCTGAAAGAAGACCTTAAATTGAGAGCGTGAAAGAGCGTCAGTGGCTGTGTTGTGGACACCAGGAATGTGAATGCAGACTAGATAGAACTGAGAGGTTGCTGCCAGCCGAATTAGCCTGCGAATCAGCCTCATAATGGTTAGCGAGGATGGCCGCCCTTTGTTAATGATGTCGCAGGCTGCGGAGTTGTCAGAGTAGCATTTAACTGCCTTGCCGGTCCAAAGATGACCCCATGTGTGGGCGGTCACCATGATGGGGTAAATTTCAAACAAAGTAGAAGTCTCTCTAAAGGCCGGCAAGACATCCGTCTCAGTGGGCCAGTCATCCCTAAACCAGTGGTTGCCGGCTGCGAACCCTGTGTGTGCTGCTGCGTCTGTGTGAATTGAAGGTGAGTGCTCTGAAAGTGAGGGAATGAACAAAGAGATCCCATTCCATTCAGCCAAAAATCTACTCCACATGTGTAAATCTGCCCTGGCTGGATCGTCCAGAATTATTGGGCAGGAATCGGGTACCCAGTGGAGCAAATTAAGTAGCCTAGAGACAAAAGACCTTCCCTGCAGAATGATACGCATTGCAAAGTTGAGGGACCCCAATAAGGACTGGAGTCCCCTCCTAGTGCACGCAACACTCCGTAG